TCAGCAGTGGCAAAACCTTAATTATCTCTCAAATCCATCCATTCTTTTTTCAAATAATTTAAGTTTTAGCTGGGCACATGGCCACACAACTAGATATTACATAGCATACACCTTCTGCTAAGCTATATGACTAACCCTGGACCATGGGATGGGGGCACAAGTGATAAGGGCAATGGTTCACATGCTTGAAAGAAAGCTGCTTGTTCTCTACCTCCTCTTGCCTCCTTTACACTGGTGACAGGTCAGACATGATATCAGCAAGATTCAACCACACAGAATGAGAGACTCTAGAAGAAACGGGGTGGGGGGGAAGGGAACCTTGATCCCTGGTTAACCCTTTGGAGCAGAATAGCCCTGAGCTACCCACCAGCTCAAACTCGGGAGGAAAATAACTATCTATCATGTTTAAGTCACTGTTATCTGGTCCCATTAAAACACCTGAACCGGGGCCGGCCGAGTGGCACGTTGGTTGGGAGTTGGCTTGGGACGCCAGCTCTGAGCAGAGAGCTCCGGTTCGGATCCCACATGAGGGCCAGTGACGCTGCGCCCTCTACAGCTAAGATGGTGAACAACAGCTCGACCTAGAGCTGGGCTGCCGTGAGTCACCAGCGACAGCGTAGGCTGCAGTGGGGCTGGCCAGCAGTAGGCGTGAGCTTTCGTGAGCTGCCGTGAGCCTCCATGAACGACCATCCAATGGCCAGCATGCGACTGCCTCACCCAGGAAGTGCGCAATGACAATACCAACATGGGCCAGTGAAGCAACATCCTCCACAACTAGACTGATGAACAAAAAAGGACAGCAACTTGTCTGTTCCCCTTCCTCAATTCCCCAACGCTGTTCCCCTTCCCCGATTCCCCAATAAAATCTTTAAACAAAAAAAACAACAACAAAAAAACACCTGAACCAACATAGATGTAGTCTATTCCTCATCTCACATATTATTATAAAATACAAATAATGACCCTTAATTTACCTGGTGTATTTTCAAATTCCTCCTAGAAGCCATCCATGATGTACTCCAGGGGTTGGCAAACTGCGGCTCTTTGGGTCATGTGAGCAATTTTTTGTGTGAATTTTTCTTATTTTAATATCATTAATACTATTACTTGTTATAATATTACTTTAAATTTTCCTTATTTTTAAAAATATATTTATGACTCTCGAATAAGTTTTAAATTGTTGTGAGGGACAGGATTGGCTCTCCTGTCTCAAAAGTTTGCCGGCCCCGATCTACTCTATGCCATGATTACATCAATCATTGCTTCTTTTCTGCAACTTCTTTATATCTTATCCNTTCAGCATCTTAGCTGTAGAGGGCAGCGTCACTGGCCCTCATATGTGGGATCCGAACTGGGGCCCTGCTGCTCAGAGCTCCCACTCCCAAGACAACTCTTAACCAATGAGTCACACGGCCGGCCCTGATCTCCCCTAGTTTAGAAGCCCTCTGTTTTAATCGTTCCAGCCTACTGATGGCATGGGAGGAGCAGTTACCCAGAGCCATGAAGTATGTAAGAATCTTCAATAGTTCTCAGCTAATCCTCCCTATTTCAGAGGGCTCTTGTTCCATCTCCACACGTAACACTAATAGTCCAAAGATATCTAGAGCCAGATCCTGAGGCTTTTTAAAGATCCTGAAATTTAGATTGTATTAAGGTTTTTGGCTTTCTTCATTGCTAATTTAGGATTTAGCATTTTCTAAGCGGTTACCACTGTGGTGTTCAATCCACTATCTTTACCTAGAAGCCTCAGAATACATGCTATTTTCAAGTGTCCATGGACTACTTGAAAAGAGAATAATCTTACACTATAGGCCACAATGAGATTCTCAGGAAATTTTTAAAATGTAGAAACTACAAAGGATGCATTCGTCACTCATGAGGCAGTCAAACTATTGGGTTGTCGGAAAAGTCATGATGCGTTTTTGCAATAAAAAACATAGAAAAAATACGTCATGACTTTTCCAACAACCCAATAGACTGCCGCAAAAATTTAAACAAGCCAAAAAAGTACCAAATTTAAAAATACGCTCCCAAATAAGAATAAAAAGTACCATGACAGACTATTTAGAAAATAATGACAAGGAAACTAAACATCAAAACACGTAACTAGAGGCAAACTCATAGACTTAAACTCATTATTGAAAATAAATAATGAAAACTCACAAAACTTAGAAAACCAATAACCAAACAAATCTCAAGGTAATAAGAATAAAGAAAAAGAGGTAATAAATAAATTATAAATAGAAGA